TCATAAGCCCGTTCACCAACAGTATAACAGTAACGGAGTTAGGTAAGGGCATACAGCAGTGACAAGACAGGTAAGTTCTCTGCTCTCTTGGCGCTTACAGCCTATTTGGAGGAGTCAGGCATCTAATAAATCATTATAAAATAATTACGATTGTGATACCTGTTATGAAGAAGTGTGGGATGATCAACTTTCTAGCCATGAGAGTCAAGGAAGGCTTCCCTAAGGAAGTGGCATTTAAGCTAAACCTTGCAGTGTGATTACTGGCTGGGAAAGCGAAGAGAGGGAGAAAGAACAATGACATTGTTGTAGACAGAAAGAAGAGCATGCATAAAAACCCTATGGCAGAAAAACTTCAAGCCAGTGAAGGCTGGAGTGTGGTGAGGGAGGGGGAGGTGTAAGGGTAAGTTGAGGCAGGGGCCAGATCATGCAGGTTTTATCCTAAGGCCAATGGAAACTTACTGAAGTGTTTCCAACAGGGAAACAACGTGATTAGGTTTGCATTTTATTTTTACATACATTGAGATATATTTGTAAATACAAGCAGCAGAAGCTCACAAATACTACACAGGTATTTAAAAAAAGGAGTACAGCCTGTAATCACCACGTAACAGTACAACCATAAACAGGAGTGTTACAGGGTGGGAGCAATGGAAGAGGAAGCCTGAGCCTGCAGTCTGGCCAGACATGCATAATTCACCTTTTTGTTTGTTTTTAAGGACTAGCTGTTCATCTGATTTGACGCCAAGATAGCATTCAAGTAAGCCGAGATAAAATCCCTGTTTAAAACTCTCCCCTTTCTTCAAAAGCTTCAAAAGAAAATTTCTCCTCAAATTCCCACCAAGACTAACCTCATATGTGGGTGGTGTTGGGGACCACCCACAGGGTGTAATTTGAGAGCTGTTAAAAGACCCCTCCTTCTGTTCCCTGTAAATTTCCTTGGTCCTGCCACCACTACCTAAAATTCTTCTATCAGCATTTCTATTTGGTTGAGTTTTTAATTGCCAGATATGCTTGGACATGGTAACACACTGGATCTGTCCTGCCTTCCTAGGACCAAGCTGCTTTGATTGCTTTTTCTCAAAGATGGGGAGAGGAGGTTGACAGTTTTCTGAGGCCATGCAGAGGCATGGAGGGACCATGGGCCTGAGTAGGCCCCAGAGAGGGAAAGTCAAAGCACATTTGAGTCATCGTTTTGGTTTGGGTTGCCCCTGGGATCAGCTGGTGTGTACAATATGGATATATGTACAAATGTGTGAAGATTTATACAGTAAAGGTACATGGGTGAACTTATGGCATATACATCACTTTATAACATGGGAAGCAATAATAGCAAAAAGCACAGTCCCTGGGATTGGACCAAACTGAGTTCCAATCGCAAGCTCTGTGACCCTGGGAAAGTTACAGACCTACCTTAGCTGGTTTTAGGAGGATTCAGTGAGATCATCTGTTCAAAGTCTTAGCATGGGTCCATGGCATAGAGCAAGTGCTCTATAAACGGTGCTGTTATTAAGGTTACGTGAGTGATTATGCTTAAGAGTGTGTGTGGGTGTGTGGGTGGGTGCAGATGTGGGTAGGTAGGAGAGAAGCTGTAGGTAAGAATGAGGGAAGGCAGGAGAAGGTTGCCATCTCTGCAGCAGGGAGCTCCAGCACTGTAGTGGCCCTTCCAGAGGGTGAGGGAGTGCAGAACAGCTCACAGAGGAGACCGGCTCAGCTTTGCTAAGTGGGAGGCAGGGGAGAGCAAAGGGCCTCAGACTATAAGGGGCTTCCTGATGTGCACCGAATCAAGGGTGGAAATTAATTGAAGGAGAGAGGCAGACAGAATGAGATGTGATTTTGTTGAAGCTCAAAAAATCCTTTTTATAAAAGTGAGATACTTTTTTTAAAGTGAGTTGAAAGTGGCCTCTGAAATTGAAATGTATCAAAATTGGGCCTCAGAGCTCAGAAGGCAGATGACTTCGCCTTCTCCACCCTGAAGCTCTCTCTGCTCTGCCTTGTTTTGAACTACGTGCTCATTGGATTTTTCAGAACGGGAACTATGAAAACCATATAAACAACAGCAACCTGTTTTCAGGCCTCTTGGTCCTCTCTTAAGATCTTCCTACTGTGTTTATGTGTTTTCTACATAATAAAGAATTGTCATTCTTATATTGAGAGAGAGGAAGATAGAGTAAAATGAATACCCAGTTTCTCGTCCCAGTTGTGCCCCTAACTCACTGGGCAACTTCAAGGAATCTCTTGATCTCTCTGGGCACAGTTGCCTCAACTGCAAAAGAAGTTGATTTGTTCAATTTTGGTCATTATCTTTGGACTTCCTGCTATCCTAGATGAGGTCTAGCTCCCTTTGTACCTACCCTCTCCTTAAAGCTAAATCACCGAACGACAAGGTACTTAAGAACACCAACCACCTGCCTGTTCCTAGCTGTGACCCCTTGAATAGTTAACCTCACTATGTCTGGTTCCCTCTCCGGTAAAATGAGGGTAAAGAAGAGGATAGTGTATTGTAGGTTGTTTAAAAGGATTAAATGGGCTAATACAGGTAAAGCACTCAGAACAGTGCTTGGCCCAGATAAGGGTAAGGGTATCATTGTCATTAACTAACTCTGCTTAGATACGTTTGTAACTTGTATGAAATGTATTAGTGATAAATCAAGAAACAGAAGTATAATTTGTTGTTGTGAGGTGCCCTTCAGTCGATTTCAACTCATAGCAATCCCATGTGACATTGAAGAACTGCCTTATAGGGTTTTCCTGGCTGTAATTTTTAAAGCGAGCAGGTCGTCAGGTCTTTCTCCTACAAAGCTGTTGGGTGCACTGGGTCCTTTGCGCCACCGTGGCTCCTTACGTATTTCTTAAAAAATCCGACCAAACCTGTTGCTGGTGAGTCAGTTCGACTCATAGCAACCCTATAGGACAGGGGCTGTCCTATAGAGTTTCCAAGGAGCTACTAGTGGATTCGAACTGCCAACCTTTTGGTTAGCAGCCATAGCTCTTAACCACTGTGCAACCAGGGCTTAGGGATATGAAAAGACTACAGTAGGTCTCGGGCAGGGGGAGAATTGAGGACCATCGCTTTTCCTTAAAAAGCACTCTGTACTCTTGGATTTTTCAAGGATATGTATGTACCACTGTAACTTTTTTTTCTTTTAATTTGAAGAGATTGGCCAAAAAGTTACTAAAGCCCTTCTCGCCCTCTGAATTTGGGAATTGAGTATGATTTTTAAGGAGCAGTACTTTCTAGGCAGCCCGCTTACCCCATTAGTAATATGTTTGCCCGTTTCAGGAAATCCTTATGAAGGTTTAAAATAAACACAATCACCTTGGCATGTTTATATCCGAATGTGTTTTAACTTCTTGGGTAGGAGAAAAAAAAACGGGTAAAGGTGAAAATATAAACTTGGTAAGTACCTGTCCTTTGGGGCTGCCTTATACCTTGCCTCTTGTAATCTTTTCCCAGAAATCAACTCAGTTACGAGAAGGAGGAATGAATAGCAGGGAGTGAACTCCTCCTCCTCAGGGAGAAAAAAAAAAAAGTCCTTCTGGCCAGGGGCAGCCTGGCGGTGAAAGTGTTAACAGGGCTGGGTTAGGCGATCCCTTGAAAGGAGTAAGACTCAGAGTTGTTAAAGTTTTCGAAGCGGCGGCAGCGGCACGGGGAAAAGAGAGCGAGTTGAAGGGAGCTGGGCCGAGCGGAGGAGCGGGTTGAGCTGAACTCAGCAGAGGTCACAAACGCAAGGTTAGTGGCGCTCGCACACTTTCGCAGCCCAGCGCAGGCTGACATCTTTGGAAAGGAGTCTTAGGAAGGCGAGGCGCCATCTCTCATCCCCGTGTGTAAAATGTCTGATTGCTTCCAGGAGGGGCCCCGGGCCCTCAACTCTTTCCAAACCTCCGGGGTTGCAGCATGCACTCAAGGGTTGACACTTGTGGGGGACGGCTGGCTTCTTCAGAGGAGACCTTTGTAAACTGGAAGCTTCTTTTCCAAAAGGAAACTTTGTGAAACAGGGATTGTCTCTCTCTCTCTCTCTATCTCACACACACACACACACACACACACACACACACACACACCCCTACCTGTATATTCTGCTCCATCCTGGCTTTTGCAGGTTGTGACCACGATCCAGAATTCCTATCTGCTTCAGTTGAAACCAAGAACAATTGTCAAAGTAACTGAACAGGCTGTGCAGCTTACATTGTGGGAGGAATATTGTCTCTGAGGCTATTTAAGATAATCAGGGTGAGTAGAGAAGAGAGAAAGAAAGAAGAAAGGGAGGGAGGGAAGAAGGAAAGAAGTATGAAAGGAAAAGGAAAGGAAAAAAAAAATAAAGAGCTTCCAAGTGCCTTAGCAAAATAATTTTTGGAAATGAGTTTCTAGTAGGAATTTTTCTTGTATGCTGCTAAAATAAAAATAAAGGGGGAAGATGTATTGTGAAAGAAATAACCTACATTGTATGTTATTCAGATAAACCTATATACATTAACTAAACTTATCTGCAATGTGATGCAGATAATAGATAAGCCCAGAGAAAGGAATAGGTAGGTATCGTCACAGAAATTGCATTCCGTGTAAAAGGCTTCTGCTTGAGAGTCAAGACCAACTGTCTGGGTGCTTTGGAGCCCCTTCCAGCCCAGGCTGGCAGAGAGGAGTGGGTATGCCGCTTCAACAGGACTTTTTTGTCTCTAGTGAGGAGCCGCTGTGCTGAATGTGCCCTCTGATCCCTACAGCAGGCAGGAGTGAGTACTGTACCTGCTAGCACTGAATCAGAATGAGTCACTGGGAACTTCGGTGCCGGAACAAAAGTACTTGCAAACTGCCTTATGAGACACTGCCTCGATGTAGGTGGGATATACATCTCAGAGCAGTCACGTTGTTTGCCTCCCTTCCTTTCTCCTTCAAACAGGCAGGAATTCTGACGCTCTCAAAAGACGGCTCTGCCCCCTTGGCTCAGCTCACCTTACCATGTGGACTCTGCCTCACCAGGTCAGGACTGGGGTTTTAAAATAAAATGGATGATTTGACGTTACTTGATCTTCTGGAGTGCCCCGTGTGTTTTGAAAAGCTCGACGTCACAGCCAAAGTCCTCCCCTGCCAGCACACCTTCTGCAAACCATGTCTACAGAGGATTTTCAAGGCCCGCAAGGAGCCGAGGTGCCCCGAATGCAGAACCCTGGTCTTCTGCAACATCGAGGCCCTGCCGGCCAATCTGCTGCTCGTGCGTCTTCTGGATGGTGTGCGCGCTGGACAAAGCACCGGGAGGAAGGGCTCCTTCCGCAGGCCCCGTGTGCTGACCTCCCAGGACAGCCGGAAAAGCAGGAACAACCCTAGAGGTCTGCAGTCCAGCGCTTTCCGGCTGGTGCCCAACACCAGGATCCACATGGATGGGGTAAGAAAGATCTTGTTTGTTAATGTTGCGTCCATGTGGACGCTGGATTTGTGCATGCTGGAAGCTAGAGGTATCTTTTTTTAGTTACATTTCAAAGTGCTGCAGATGATTCCCAGTGCTAAGTTTCTGTTTGCAGTGATCATTTTACTTTAACATGGGTGGAGTCCTGAGCCTATCTAACCAGTCTAAGAATTCTCCTTGGAACTGTATATTTATTGAAGCTTCCTAGTCTCTCCCTGCTTCTTGTTCAGAAGGTGGTAGGACAAGGAAAGCCTTCTTGCTTGCAGTGTTCGTTTTTCACTTCTGCTCTTGTTAGGTTAAAGCAGTGCACGGGAAATGCACAGGTGGGAAAAAGAAAACAAATCCAAGTGCTCGATGCTTTTGAGATCTCTCAGAAGTTCCCAATTTCAAATTTTGTTTGAATTTTACTCAAATCTGTTTCCGACTCCCAGTCATAAAGCGCTATTACGACAATGCTCATTCATAATCTGAAGCTGTCAAGACAGCTGACGCCTTAAGATGATGCGAGGGGAAGTGTCTATGTGGGTGGACTGATTGATAGCAAAGGCTGGGCCGTGAAGTACAACAGATGTGAATAGGAGCCCACAGATGTGTCTTACTTTACAGAGTGAATAGACCACACATAAAATACACGTCAGGGGCTGCAATAAACAAATGGAAACAGGCCACTCAGAAAACGGCCGGTAATGCTCTTGGTGTTTGAATAATAGGGACCCATCTCTCCAACCCGTGTTGTGGAATGTTCTGTAAAGGCCCATCTCAAGAGAAGAATGTGGTTCTGGTGAGTCTAACAGGTTTATTTGCACCATCATCCCTGGAATCAGTGTGCCAAAGTGAATACTAGAAGCTGTGGTCTGGGCTGTTGCCACACTTAGAAAATCAAAGTTGCATTCTGTGACATCTTACCAGCGAGCAAGCTTTAATACTGTGGGCAGAGTCCCAGGACACCCTGCCATAAGAGTAATAGTGTATGTATATGGGGTGGTGGGGATCTTCCACGAATCCCTTTCCCACTCAGGAGAATAGGTTTGTGTTGCACATTCAGAGCAATTTTTTGACATTTTCCTTTCAAAAAGTCAACCCTCTTTCAGTTCGCTGCACTTGAAGTGCCCCCCATGTGGTGGGGGAATATATAAACATTCAAACGTAAGAGCAGGAAGAACAGGGACGTTGGTGTGATTCTCTTCACTGCAGACTCTTGACGGCTGTTGTGCTTGTGTGTGTGAACACATTCCAGAAAAAGCCTTGGCGTTCTTCTTTAAATCTCCACATTAGCCCTAGTCCAGCCATCAGTCAGAAACCACAGACCTAGAAAAGGCTGGTGGGGAGGGGAGAGAGAAAGGCAAACTTCTCAAACATGCCTTGTTTATAGAGAAACTGGCTCTATCTCAGGTCACCACATCCACCTTTGAATTCCTAAGGCCCAGTAACGTCTCCCCTCCCGCACCTCTGCAAAAGCCTGACTTGATGCCTTCCAGAGAGAGCATCATTACTCATGAGGGAAATTTGCCATGCTGGCAGGAGGCATGTCCCTTATCACCTTCTGGTATTTTTGTTCATGTTTTCATCATTTTCAATGTGGCTGTGTTGCTAAGAACAGGTAGCAATGAGTGGATCCAAAGCCACCAAGTTTTTGAACCAGAGAGGATTCTCCTAGCACAGGGAGTTGGGAGGTTGAGAGCTGGGCGTACGTAAGAGACGGCCATTAAGATCCTGTGTGTCCCTGGAACTCTTCCTCGGGACTTGTAACATCAGACCAAGGTGTCCATGGTGGAACTGTGCCCATCCTCCAAGCTGCACCAGGATCAAGTCCTCTCCTGAGGTTGAAACACAGAACCAAGCTGTTGAGGGCTCCTTCTTTCGGGCAGGACCTGGGTTATTAACCACGCTCTGCAGAAGAACACAGCTGAGATGCCCTCACTTCCTCTCGTTCCTTCATTTCCTGAGCCATCCTTCCTTGAAATGGCTCATCCCCTCCCTCTCGTACATTTTAGTTTTGCCTCTCTGAGCAAAGGATATGAACAAACCTGTTTCTGAAAGCAAATATGACTGTCATTTGGCAACCTGTCTCCTAAAGATATAACTGTCCTTCCTGTAAGTGTGAAAGAACCGTATATCACTCAGTTAAGGGAATTGAGGATTATCTGGGATGCGCCATACTGTTCTGAGAGTCAGGGGAGTGGACTTGCACCTCAGTCAAACCTTCGCCAAGTTATTTGCCCTCCCTGCCTCAGTTTATCCAGTCTAGTCAACAGAGCCAATAATACTTGTTATCCACCTTCTTCCAAGATCTTGTGAAAATTATCTTTGCAACTCTTCATCATCATTGTTATTTTAAACTTGCTGTATGACTTTGGGTAAGCCATTTAAGCTTGCTGGGTCTCAATTTAAAATTCTGTAAAATGGGAAAATGGATTATAAAAACAGAGAGCCATTGGGAGGCTTAACTAATTAGTGTTTGCAGAGCACTTTGAGATCCTTAGATGAAAGGCATTTGGAAGATCATTATCGTAGTAAACATTATTATTGACCGTTTATTGTGCCCGGTCATACATGAGGCATTCTACAAAACACAGAAGGAGCTATAGCCCTTGCAGGAGAATGTAATAGGTATTATTACTGAACTTGAGTCTATGATGAGTCTAGGCCAGGATAATACTAAGTATAAAATAATCCCTTAAGAGGGGATAAATAACCTGTTGTGGTAGGGTACCATTTTGTAAAATACCTCTTCCAGAGGATTCGATAACGTGGCACTCGAAAAGAATCCATGAGCTTTTTAAGCCCAGAGACTGTTCTGCTCACCTAGTAACAAGCTCATCAGAATCTTTGTGTTGGCTCAAGGAGGCTTGATGTTTCTTCTTGTGCCAGCGAGTATGCTAGGGTGGGACCAGTAGTCACACCTCATGGTGCCACCCCAAGAGAGAGAAAAAATAGCCCATTGTGCCTAAAACCCTCCCAGGTCACTTGTGTAAAAAGAAAACTTGAGAAAGGGCTGTAGATTTCTACAGCATGCAATTATTTCAGACCAACAGGTAAGAGCAGCAGACTCCTGGAAGGGCCTCCAGCAGCGCAAGCCCACTGGTTCTCGTTCCTTCTCTGAATGCGGTCAAGCCAAAGGAACTTTGCAAGCCTTTGAGAGGACAGTGGGTTTCTAAGTAACTGACCTCTTTTCCTCCTTACTCTGTTACAGTTTAGTAGTATTTCTGAATTAATGCAGGCAGTAAAGCAGAGAAGTTAAGAATTTGCAGGTTTAATTTGGGAAATGTCAGAATTCAAATCCTGGTTCTGTCCCTCAATAGCTATGTACTTTGAGTGAGTCATTTAAACCACAGGGCTTCCACCTCCCCATCTGGAAATTGGAGATAACAGTAGTACCTCCGTCACAAGATTATTGTGAGAAACCAATGAAATGATTGATGCGTATCAGTTAACTCTTAGCACAGTGACTGGCTCGTTTTAAGTGCTCAATAAATGTTAGCTATTATAATTATTGAATTGATTCAACACTTTCCAACCTAAATTGCATCCCTTTTCTCACTTGCTTGTTAATTAAATGTCATCCAGAGAGGGTCCTCAGCACCCTGATTTCTGGTTTGGTTTGTTTGCCTCCTGTTCTGGATTGAATTGGTCCTGCCAAAAATATCCCTTGTATATCCTAACCTCTATGCCTGTGGTTATATAATCCCATTTGGGAATGGGCTGTCTTTGTTATGTTAATGAGGTATGATTAGTGTAGGGTGTATCTTGAGTCAGTCTGTCTTGAGATATAAAAGAGATTAAAGAAAGGAGCAGAGGAGAGATGGGGTAAGATAGATGCCAAGCCACATGGAGATCTCCAAGGAACCAGGAAGCAGAAGCTGAAGAGACAAGGACCTTCCTCCAGAGCCGACAGAGAGAGAAAGTCTTGCCCTAGAGCTAGCACTCTAATTCAGACTTCTAGCCTCCTTAACTATGAGAAAATAAATTTCTGTTTGTTAAAGCCACCCATTTGTGGTACATCTTTTATAGCAGCACTAGATAACTAAGACATCTGCCAGTGATCCATGGCCACGATTTGGATGTGTGATTCTTCCCAGCATGTTCTGGCTTTGCAGCTCACTTCTGGACTCTTAAGGAGCTATAAGTTGATTCTGGGAGAAAACTCCCTGGCTAACTTCACTTCTCCAAATAGCATCCTCAATGGAAAATGATATACAGGGCAGGAACCTGGTCCACTTCCCTAGTATCATAGAGAATTCATTTAACTTTTCCATTTCCCTTTTCCCTGGCCGTTCACTCTACTGGGTCTTCAGGGTTAGACTGACATCGTTGGTAAGCATCCTGCTGAGCACACACATTTCTATCTCACCCTCCTCATCTCAGCCAGAACACACCTGCCACCTCCATCTCACGGGCCAGCTGGCTTTGTCCTAGAAACTTCTTCAGTTGGTGTTGCAAGCAAATGGGGGAAAAAAATGAGGTCAGAAAGCACATCAGGGAATTGAGGTTGGGTGGAAACCAGAAGGTGATCCATTTATTTTCTGGGTCTCAGATGTGTGCTTGCGACAGAAACGTAACACGGACAGTGGTTTTTGCTACGTTTGCAAGGGAGAATAACATGATTCCCAAGTCCCTGAAAACAGAAGGCAGGTGCCACCTAGGACAGCAAAGAGCTTATGTGGCAGGTGGAGGGAGATATAAAGGCTGAGGCTGAGAAGTCAGGAGACCCAGATGGTTCTCCAGCTTCACACACATTTGCAGATGTTTTTAAAAACCACATGGTTCCAGATTATCACTGCCCCTCAACCCCTCTCAATGCACCTCCTTGCTAGTTACAGTCCCCTCCCTTCTACTGCTCACTATTGTGCCTAAGGAGCCCTGGTGGCACAGTGGTTAAGAGCTCGGCTGTTAACCAAAAGGTTGGCAGTTCACACCCACCAGCTGCTCCTTGAAAAGCCTATAGGGCAGTTCTACTCTGTCCTATAGGATTGCTTTGA